CCCCCCATTTTGTCTCTCATAGTTGAGGTATACCTATGATGAAAATTACAGGCCTCTCTCATCTTTTTAAGTGGGAGAACTTGCACAATTGGTGGCTGACTAAATACTTTTTTGCCCCACTGTATTGTATGATATGTACAAAGAGAAAAAGTTATTTGCAAAGAATGCAGCTAAAAAGGGCAAGGGTTAAAAGAGACAAATTGCAGAGTGAATTTGATGGAAATAAAGAGTTATTTTGGAAATGGGTGAAGAAGATTAAACAAGGAGCATGTACCAGATTGAATGGAATCAAAAATAAAAGGGATAAAATGATTTGGGATAAAACGGAAATGAGGGATTGCTGGTAAGAGTATTTTATAGATTTGTATGGGACTTATAGTAATATGTCAAAGAGTGGAATTGAGACAAATAGTATACATTATAGAATCCAGGAAAAAATTATGAAGAGAAAGTAAATCAGTGACAATATTTAAAAAATTAAGACTGCAGATGTAGATGGCATTACTGGAGAAACGTTAAAAGTTGGATGTGGTTTGCATATGGAATAGCTTTGCAGCTTGTTTAATATGTGTATGAAGGAAGCTGTCTGATCAAAAACATACAAAAGGTGACAGCAAAAATTGGGAAGTGCAGTGTGGTTTTATTCTGGGCAGAGGGTATGGAGACCAAATTTTTGTTCTTCAGCAGGTTGTTGGGAAATGTATGAATGGGAGGAAGAAAATTGGTTGTATGTTTGTTGATTTAGAGAAAGTAAGTAGTCTTGAAGTATGTGTGAAAATAAATGAAATACTGAGCAATGGACAAACACTGAGAAGGTAGTAAGACAAGGATATGTGAAGTTCCCTTGGTTTAACACATTTATGGATAAATGTATAAGGAATGGTTATGTTAGAGGTGTGTGGATTGGGGAAATGAGTGTGTGTGTGTGTATGGTTGTGTGCTAATGATGTTGTGCTGTTGGCTGAAAATCCAAATGATCTGCAGTAAAAGTTGATAGACTGTATGATATAAAAAAGGAGCATGAATCTGAAAATGCATGTATTAAATACCAAGGTAATTGTGTTTGACAGGGAAAATGAAATGAATGATTGTCATTTATACATAAATGGTGAAAAACTAGAATAAGTGTATGAATTTATGTATCTTGGCAGGATGTTAATTAAAAATGGGGAAATGGATAGAGTAATTTTAGGATGTGGAAATCCTGGTAGAAAAGTAGTGACTAGTACATGGTCTGTTGCAAAGAATTAATCAAAAGAAGCAAATTTGTTTATTACCTGGAAGCGAGAGCTGATTATGTCATTTAAGATGAAAATAAGAAACATTTAAGTAAGGTGACTGATGGTGAAATGGATTATTTTAAAAGTGCTGTGGAAAAAGAAGAGGAGGAGGAAGAAGAAGAAGAAGTTAGGATCAATAATGAATGGATACTGAATGAATGCATTAAATACAAAAGTAAATGACCAGGACAGAAGAAATTGGTTGCAGCAGTTTGGTTAGAGAAAAAAATGAGAATCAAATTGCAAAACTGTTAGCCCTTCAGGGTAGGCGAGGTCAAGAAACAGGCACAGTAGGGATTCCAGGAATGCTGTTTATTGTAGCAAGGTGGAATAACAGGTTCTTGAAAGCTTGTTTGAGTTTCTCTCTGTCCCATCTTATACTAAATAAAATCAAGGTGGGCTTATTTGAATGTCTTTCTCACGCTTTCCTATTTCTCAGGACTTGCAATCTTTTCTGCAGGTCCTCCTTTAACAGCCCACTCCTTTCTTCCCTATCTTCAGGGTGAGCCCTAAATTCCTTTCAAAAACAAATATATGAAGGAAGAGTGACTGTGTTGAGAAGATGGGGAAGACTGTGGTTGGATGGAAATGAATGAGAGCCACAAAGAAAGAGAGGTGAG